AACAAGTGTCTCGCCAATGCGGAAACAGCATTTTTCGGTAATGACGATGTACAATCCTATGCATCGAACAATAATTCATAGTGCTCTGGAAATTTTGAAGGAAACTTAAATACTAAAGACTCAAAACATTTAACCCTTCAGAAAATTCCGGAAATTTTTATATATTATCACTTATACCGATGGGAAATAAAACTTTTAAAATATCTTGAAACTGTTTTTAACAGTATAGCGATATTTCGTACATCAAAAACGTATGTATCATATTGAAAAGTTAAAGCACAATAAAACTTGACTTTCAGACCAGAAGTGCCAGCACAGTCAGTTCAGCTGTCTGAAATATCCTAATGTCTCGCGACACCGGCTGTCTCGCCACTGCGGACAACGCCTTAGTATTTCATTTGCTAATAAAGGATTATTTTGAGCTTGACTACGAGTGGTTCTCTTTTCTTCAGACATTGGTTAACATTTTTGAAAAAAGTAAACAAAATTTGTAAGTGTATTGTAATGTAGAATAAAAATTGTCAGTTTTATGTTTTCTAATTTTTGTATGTGTGGACAAACATATGTGTAGACAAATATATGTGTATACAAATATATATATAATATGATGGATAAATACGTTTATAAAATAAGTAAAGGATTATTTGATTGTTTTTGTTCATAAATTATTTAATTAAAAACAACAGTATTTCTTAAAAACTTGCAAATTTTATTTAGAATTAATTATTTATTAATACTGTTGAAAAAATTTTAAGCAACAATTTTTTTATTTTAAAAATTTGTTTGTTTATAACTTGTTAAACAATATTTTGATTAAAAAAAATTTATAGAAAAAATGTGTTTAAATTTTATTTAACGGTGTTGCAGGGCCAAGAAATCTCACTGTTGCCAACCCACTCTCCCCCACTTTCATGTATTTTTCCACTTTAACAATTATTTAAAAAAAATCAAGGCACTTTATCGAAAAAGTGGGCTTTTAGCGCCAAAATATATTAAATAAGCTTTCGAAAAAACTTTACCCGGTCCTACAACGATGTTTCTACGAGCCGGAATATTATTTCTACTATGACATTTGACACATGACAGCTGAGGTGGCTTGTGAATGAAAATGGAGGTGGCACGACAGGTTGCCTACGTAAAGGCATATCACTATGATAAAGTAGAGTAGAACTTTATTTTGGAAAAAAATACAAAAATTTCTTTTTTTGTCACAATTTTTTAATGAAAGTATATAAAATAACATAAATTAGTGAGTGTTTGTTTATAAAAATTATAAAACAAATAAATTTCGTCAAAAAAGAAAAAATTCTTTAAAATTATTTTGAAAATTGAATATATCAATTTACTATTTTTTGAACCAATTTTTTATAGTAATTACATTAAATAAATTAAATTAAAATTACTAATTAGTAATTTTTTTGGCTATAATTTATTAAATTATTAATTATTATGAAAATCTAAAAAAATATTTTTCTAATTTTTTTTTCTCAAAATGTACAAATTAGTAATTTTATTTTTTAATTATTATAAAAATTTGTCTGCAAAATATTGTCCAAGAATTAAAATGACCAATTTTTCCATTTTTGAGGAATAATTTATTAAATATTTAATTACTAATGTTTTAAAAGTTACAATTTTTAGAAATTAAATTATATCTAAAGATCTCAAAATATTTTTTTTAAATAAGTTAATTTGTAATTATAAATTGAGAAATTTTTTTTAATTCGATAAAATACATTTATTTTACATTTTTCATTAGGTAAAATTATTAAACATATGTTCTTTTGCATATTTTCATCGTTGAGTTGTGACAGAAAATAGTATTCTTATTATTTTCCATACCGAAATAGTTTCCTATGTTAGCATAGTGTTCCGCTTTTACGTAGGCAACCTGTCGTAGTACATTCGTTTACAAGCTACCACAAGCTGTCAAGTTTTGTACGAAAAATAATATTGATACTCGCAGAATTTTTGTATCCTATCAGAGAAATTTTTTTTCAAATTCTTGTTTAATTTAGTTTTTCGATAAAGAGCCCTTTTTCTACAAAGCATCTAGTTTTTTATAAAAAAATTAGAAAAGTGCAACATTTTTTAATAATACTGTGATGTTTTGGATAATTGAATTAATATTATTAAATTATGAATTATTAAAAATTTTATAAATTACCATTTGGGAAAATTAAATTGTATCTCATGTTCATTCAATTTTTTTATATTAGTTCATTAGAAATTATTTTTCAAGTGAAAATTATTTTTTGTAATCTAATTACAAATATCTTCGATTTCCTTTCTAACTTATCGATAAATTGCTTCCTTACATAAAGGGGTCACAGATGGCGCAACACAGGACCTTTTTGTCGTCAAAGAGTTTTATATTCTCTATATGACGCATGTATACTCCACACTTTAAGGGACACTCTCACCTCTTGGCTGCCTGCCTGCCTGCCGTAGTTATCATGGCAACGTGTAGGAGTAATAGAGATAGTAAATTCAAATTTGGATTTTCTCTCTCTCTCTCTTACTCCTACACGTTGCCATGACAACTCCTGCAAGCAGACAGCCAGCCAAAAAGGTGTGAGTGCGTCCTTAGACTATTAATATTAGGAGACACCTGTTTCTGTCCGCCTTTCAAAAAGTTCTAATAGACCTTTTCATGCTGATCGTTCTGTCCTTATCTAGCGCATACAATGACGCATGAGTTGGAAGAGGACAAAATGATCAGCATGAAAAGGTCTATTGTAATTCTGTCAAATTTAAAATTTTAAAATGTTAAAATAACCTAAATGCATTGGATATAATGTGATATTATTCAAACATCTATTTAATAAATGGAGTTTATTGTCAAATTTATTTTCAACAAAAAAGCAAATTGTCTAAAACGCATTTACTAGAATCATAAAAAAGTCTAAATTTTTTTATTCAAACTTTCAAATGATAAAATAATTGCACAACCCAATGTATGTTATTTATAATTTTATTATAACCTAATTTTAAAGGGTTATAATTTTTAATTATACAAATTGTATTTAATAAAATTTGACTTTTTTATGATTCTAGTAAATGCGTTTTAGACAATTTGCTTTTTTGTTGAAAATAAATTTGACAATAAACCCCTTTTATTAAATAGATGTTTGAATAAAATCAAATTATATCCAATGCATTTAGGTTATTTTAACATTTTAAAATTTTTAATTTTACAGAATTACAATTAGAACTTTTTGAAAGGCGGACAGAAACAGGCGTCTCAATATTAGAATCCAAGAAGAACTATTTGCCATGCGCGTACGTTCGCGCACTGGGCAAGATTTTCAAAACCTTTTAGCCGTCAAATGAATAAACGCTGAATTTCTATGTGAGAGAATTTTTTATTGAAATTCTAACAGCATTTTTAGTGAGGTTTATTTCAATAATGTTTAAATTGAATAGAATTCCCAGTATGTAACATTACTATAATATGAAAATGTTCACCTGATGGTAGTATGATTTTATTTAGAAAATAATTACGTTATTCATAAACTATTAGAGTATGAATCGTTGATTCAAAATATTTTTAACATTATAATTGACAGAATTATAAATCAATTTAAAAAATTTTGGCCGGAGTAGAAAAACGCACGCATGACACAATATCAATTACAGTGGGAATGTGTGTGTGTGTGGTTTCTAGGCAGGTGCATAAATTTTCCCAAATTCTCAGAAAATCGAATTATTATTCGTTCGAAATATCGAATAACTATATGTGTTTGATTTAAAAAAAGTTCAATTACTCATTAAATAGAATTTCTATAATTCAAAAATCCAAAAAATCGAATTTTTAAATTTCCGAATTTTAATTTTTTTGAATAGACAAAAGTTCGAATGGGGCCATTCACATACTTATTACGTGATATGTTTAGGGGGGACGGGGGTAAGCAAAGTGTCACTCTTTAATCAAATTTGCTACACTAAACTATAGAAAAAATATCACGCAGGGAAAAAGGGGTCTAAAATATCTAAAATATCTATCACGTAATATGTAAATGATCCCAATATTAATTTATTCGAATAACCGAAAGTTCGAATTTTTATTTATTAGAATAGCCAAAAGTTCGAATTCAAATTTATTCGAATAGCCAATAATAGTTCGAAGTTTTTTTTTACATATAATGAGTTTCCAGTTTATTTAATGTTTAGAAAAAGTAGATTATACAAGCGTGGGAAATTAAAATTTTTATGAAAAGTACAAAATTTTCCATACTGATGTAAATTTCGCGCGCTTGTCCAATTTTTCAAAACATTAGATAGATTGGAAACTCATGTGTAAAAAAAACTTTGAACAAATGCTAATTCTAACTATTGGTTATTCGAACAAATTAAAATTCGAACTACTGATTATTCGAATTAATTTAAATTCGAACTATTGGTTATTTTAATTAATTTATATTTGAACTATTGGCTCTTGGAATACATAAAAATTTGAACTTTTGGTTATTCGAATAAATTAGTATTCTATTTTCTGTCTTTGGAATAAATTTGTATTCAATCTTTTGTTTATACGAAGAAATTTTAATTCGAAAATTTAAAAATTTGTTTTTTAGGAAATTCGAATTACAGAAATTCTATTCAATGTGTATTCAAACTATTTTTAATTCGAACATATAGTTATTTGATATTTCGAATTATTAATAATTCGATCTTTTGAAAATTTAGGAAAATTCGCGAACGTGAAACATGAGTTAGAAAAGGACAGAGATATATTCGTTTCCTTTTCTATCTCATGCATCTCGTTCGTGAACGACTTTCGTGAACCTATTGTGCGTCGGCCTTATGCGTTGCGCATTACAAGGTTTCTGGGAGGTCCTCTCTCCTTAGAACATAAAGGCCTAAGCACAACTGCTTCGCGAACGCAAAGCAAGAATTGGAGAAGGACAGAGATATATCTGTGTCCTTTTCTATCGCATAACCTCGTTCGCGGATTTATTGTGTGTTAGGCTTAACTAATGGAAAGAGTGTCACGAAGAAGCAGAAGTTCTCGAAGAGGCAGAAGACTGGGGTCGCGAAGAAGGAAGGCTTTGCTAATTCAAATGGGTATGTTTATTTTCTTACTCTTTGTATTATTGCTTTTTTTAATAGTAGTATCACATTCTCATAAAAAATGAGGTCTTAAATTTTTTGTTTTTAAATTACTTTTCATTTATAACTTTTTTCTTTTCTCTTCCTACTTTTATTATATTATTAATTTTGTTTCTAGTCTTTCCGTTTTTGCTTTCACTTTTATTTATTCATTCTAATTTTTTTCTTACTATTTTTCTACTATACTTCATACGTTAATTTTTCATATTTGTTCATAATTTTATTTCTTTTTTTATTTCAGCGACAACACGAGACAATGAGCAAGGTGGTGAAAACCAGGGAGCAAGAGTCGGTGGTAATTATGCATTTTTTATGAATTTAGTAATAATTTTGGATATTTTTAAACTTTCCTGTTTTTATTGTTATTGTTGTTTCTTATTTTTCTAACCTTTTCTAACAATAATTAGAAATAAGTTCTTTTTATTAATTTCTATTTAATTTATAATATTTGTTTTTATGTTTATCCCAAATATTTTTGTATACTCAATCAGAACCTATAGTTGATCAATTAGCTATAAGTAATAATTAGTACTTTTAATAAATAATTTGAAAAAGAACTTACAATGTTAATAAATTTATTCACAATTTTGAGTAATAATTTCTGAAACGTGCCACCTAAAACTGAAAAAATATATTTTTTGTTGAAATGTTTTTTTTCTTAAAGTATTTTATATGCACAATCACCCCCTAAAACGATTTTGCAAAAAAAAATTTTTGTTATTAACAATTTAATATTTTTGACGCTTTTTTTAAAAAAATTAATTTCAAAGAAATTTATTGATCGATTTTAGTGATTTAAACGGCATTCTTCTTGTCTTGAACCATAGTTTTATTGATATTTTTTTGGTGCAAAAATATTGATTTTTATTGCAAAAAAAATTGTTTATTTATAAACAAATAGTAAAAAACCATGAAAACAATCGAATTTCAAAATGTAAAAAATAGCTTCATATACTTACAACTCTTCTGAATAATATTCCGTCGAGAAAAAAAATGGCACGCATTCGACAATTGGTTTATTTGAACATTTTTGACAGCGCGCATGGCGCATGTAGTACGTAGTGACAGGAGTCGCGCTACATTCAGCTAGAACTCTAATGTAGGTATTCATTCTACAAAGTCTGTGGAAAAATTAATTTTATTATTAAATTATAATTTTCAAATTTTGATTTAAAAAGAATGTTTCAAATTGTAGTTTACATATTATTATTATTAAAAAATTGAGTTTTTTTTCGATTATTGGAAGTGAGAAATGAAACACCAAATCACTTGTTTGGCTTTTTTTTGTGATTTGGTGCTTCATTTCTCACTTTCAATAATCGAAAAAAAATCGAATTTCTAATACCAAATAATGGAAGGAAAAAATATTTAATATTATTATTATTAGTATTATTATTGTTATTATTATGTATAATAAAAACTTATAAACATTTTAGCTGAATTTATTGTTTTTTGATGCATATTTTTATAATGATTTTAATCCAATTTTAGTTGCAAAAATAAAGGTGAAATTATTACATTTATTAAATTTTACAAGAAACTCAAAAATCGGTCCCGTTTAAGTATAACAACGATGAAAAAAAATTCGACTTTTTTTGGGTCAAATTTCAAAATTTTTTTTTAACTATGTAACACTTTTAAAAGATATTTTTTTTGAACAATAACATTAAAATTTTAATGAGATCCAATTAATTGTCTGAGAAATATTAATGTTTAAAAAATTATTGCCAAAAATTCCAATATGGCATAACATTTAAAATTTTGAAAATTTTCAAAAATTCTTTGGGACCTCTATTTCTTATATCCAATATTACAATTTTGCAAAATTACAGACGAATCCAAAGACTCCTTGCAAATCGTGATATTTCTGACGGAGTCTTACCGAATAATAAAATTAATAATAATAATAATATGTAAACTCAAATTTGAAACATTCTTTTTAAAAAAACATATGAAAATTATAATTTAATAATAAAATTAATTTTTCCACAGACTTTGTAGAATATAATACCTACATTAGAGTTCTAGCGGAACGTAAAGCGGCGCCTGTCACTCACTACGTACTACATGCGTCATGTAGTCAAAAATGTTTAAATAAAACAATTGTCGAATGCGTGCCATTTTTTTTCTCGACGGAATATTATTCAGAAGGGTTTTAAGCAAATGAAGCTATTTTTTCATTTTAAAATTCGATTGTTTTTATGGTTTTTTACTATTTGTTTATAAATAAACAATTTTTTTGCAATAAAAATCAATATTTTTGCACTAAAAAAATTTCAATAAAACTATGGTTCAAGACAAGAAGAATGCCGTTTAAATCACTAAAATCGATCAATAAATTTCTTTGAAATTAATTTTTTTAAAAAAAGCGTCAAAAATATTAAATTGTTAATAAGAAAAATTTTTTTGCAAAATCGTTTTAGGGGGTGATTGTGCATATAAAATACTTTAAGAAAAAAAACATTTCAACAAAAAATAAATTTTTTCAGTTTTAGGTGGCACGTTTCAGAAATTCTTATTCTATTATAAACTTTCTTTACAAAGATTAAACTATGAATCCATTGATCGACTATTGTTTCCGATAGAGTGTTATATTTCTCTTTTCTATTCTTGTTACTATTTTTATTTTTTCTATTATCATTATTATTGTTATTCCTTAATGTATTTTCATTTTATTTTAACTTGACTTCCTGATTATATAAATTACAAAATTTTTATTCATTAACCATTTTTCCAATTTATATATTACAATATCATTTTCTGCTGCAGGTGATCAAGATGGTGATATCGTCGAGGGAGGTGGACGACAGGGTGACGGCGTTGTCCCACTGGAAGTTGGTGGCGGCAACGACCAACAAGGTGGAGGTGGTGGCGGCGTTGTCCAACTGGAAGTTGGTGGCGGCAACGACCAACAAGGTGAAGGTGGAGGTGGTGGCGGCAATCAACAAGGTTGGTATAATATGATAATAAATTACATATAAGCCAAATAAATTGAATATTTGGTACTAATAAATGAAGGTTTAAACCTTCATGAAAGTTATTTTATTCAATAATTATTGAAAGCAAATAAATATTCATTTGGACGAAAAAAAGTTTTTTTAAAGAACTAAAAATTTATTGGTGCCGAGTATTTAATTAATTTTTATTAGTAATAAGTAATTGTTGTTGCTCTCTAAAAATATATACAATTTAAAGAAAAACTTGAAAATTAGTTTATTTCTATTGAATCCATGAATTGAATAGAAAAAAATTTGCTTTCAAAAACTTGTTTGTTTTCTAGAAAATTATGAATTAAGTGCTTGCTTTGCAATAGAGCAGTACTTTCCATTTTTGAATTCAATTGTTAACAACTATTATAACCATAAAAATACTTTTTCCCCATTACTTTTAAAAAACTTTTCACCTCTATGTCGTTTTTTTAACAATATCTATTTATTTTTTATAACAATAACAATAAATTCTTCGAGGTATTATTAATATTTATTTTTATTAATCGATTTTTTTTAAATTATTCATAATATTATTGACTTATATGAAAATCTTTTTTATTAATACTTTATTGAATGTGCAATTAAAATTATATATAAATATCGTACAGTTTTAATTGTTCCTCATGATTATATCAAACTGCTAAACCAATCATGATTCTATAAAAAAATGTCTTATTAGTTAAAAAAATGTTTAAATAAATAGGTTGTAAATAAGTATAAATTCGACAGTAGTCGGCCACTTTTAAAAAAACCTTAAAAACCAATTATTTTGCACATTCAAAAGCATAGACTTGTTTACGATAATACTACGAATGATTAGTAACAAACAATTTTTTTAACTTATATAGTATCATGACTATGCAACATTAATAAGTGGCAGACTACTATCTAGTTTACCCTATTATTTACTTTTGTTTTTCAATAAGATTGCAATAAAGTAAAGAGGCTATTTTATTATTTAAATTTTTATTAAAAACTGATTTAAATACTCATTAAAAAAAGAAAATCCTTTTACACAAATTTATAAATGAATTTCTTCGATTTTTATTATGAAAAAACTTTAATTTCGACAAATTCGAACTTCAAATACACCCAGAAAAAAATTAATTTTATTTAAATAACCGATTAATTGTTTATTATCAAATAAATATTTACTTGGCTTAAGACTGTAAAAATAGGTGTCTTTTGAAATTTTAAAATAAAAAAAAAGTTACATTTTTTCCCGACTTTTAAATAATTAAATAATTATAGTTTGATTAGGGTGTCCCGAAAATTATTTTTTTAATATTTTCTTGCTGCCGTCTCCTAGAATTGTTCCAAATGGAAAAAGAGACCCGTATTTTTTAATTTTAAAAACGGATAATATTTAACGGTGCTACCAGGCCCTTGAATTTTTGCATGTATTTCATATGGGGAAAAGCTGCTTTTTCGTAAATTTGCAATACTTATGTTAAATCTTAGAATTTTTAATTTGGCAAACAACATTTTTCTTCAGGGGTGTTCAAATTATGAAGTTCTAATAATTATTAAAAAAAAAATAAAATAAATATTTTTATAAAGCAGCAGAAAACCCCATAAATGCAAAAAAAGTTAAATACATATTTAAAAGTGTCGGAAATGACAATAATAAGAAGACATTTGTTAAAAAAATGAAGTTGTTAAAAAAAATTGTTTAAACAAATTATTGTTGTTATTTATTTCTTCAAAATAAGAATATAAAGTTGCAGATTTTTTTACATAACTCAACTTACATTTTTGACAACACTATGCAACAAGTAGAAAGTGATTGTCACAAATTTACAATAAGAATTGTTTAAACAAATTAATATTGTTATTTATTAATATTTTGAATATGATTTTATGATCTTGGAGTTTTCTCTAAATTTTAACAACTTTCGTTGCCAGCTATAACTATTAGTTTATTAGACAAAAAACTCCAAGTTTATAAGTTTAAGTTTGATATATTAATAAATAACAATATTAATTTGTTTAAATATATCATATTATTAATTTTTAACAATCACTCTTTACTACTTGTATGGTGTAGTCCACAAGGTAAGTTTGAATAATTAGAAAAAACTTCAACTTTATATCTTTATTTTAAAAAAATAAATAAATAACAATAATTTGTTTAAACAATTTTCTTAACAACTTTCTTTTATTTTAACAAATACTTGCTATTTTCATTTGTTTAACAACTTGCACGCGGAATTAAGAATTCATTAAAACGTATTAAAATAATTCGACCCACTCTAAAACTTTTTGCAATATTTTCTTCTTATTTCCAGCTACGTGTGATAAAATTTTTATTTTTTTAATTCCCTAAATTAAAAAAATGAATTTGCTTATAAAAAATTAATATTTTTTTAATAAAATTTCACAAAAAAAATTTTTTTAATTCTTCAAAAAAATCATGGAAAAACTGAACTTTTTTTCTCTTAGCAAAATTTTTCTAAAGTTGTTAGCTTTAAAGATACACACGATTAAAAATAAATCTACTTTTAAAAATCTGAAATTTTAATAATTCATTAATAGAAAATTTGACAATAAAAAAAAATACGTGTACATTTTTTTAAAAAAGAATGGAAAAAAAGTGTTTTTAGCCGAATTAAAAATTTGAGTGTGAATTTCACGTGGTATCGTCCATATATTCTTTTAAATAATTTTCAGAAAGAGCGTTGATACTTCCGCAAAATGGAAGTGATCGAGGTGAAGGAAGCGCTCGAGGAAGGGGAAGAGGACGAGGAGATGGAAATAGGAGAAGTCGTGGAAAGTGGAGAGGTCGTGGAAAGTGGAGAGGTCGGGGAAAGTGGAGAGGTCAGGGAAATTGGAATGACCAAGGGAATTCTTCAGGTCGGGGAAATGGAGGAGTGAATGTCCCCGGTAATTATTCTATTCTTTGAAATTTTATTTCTTCTTTTGATTTTAGGGGTCATTTGGAGTGCATGAATATCTCATAAAAATCATTTAACAGAATTATTATTCTTTCAAATTGCTATTAAACAGAAATTATAGAATTTGAATTATATTTTAGGCGAGGTTCCATTATATCGAAATAACATTGTGAGGAATTTTTACATAACGAATTTTAACTATTACTAATTTTTAGAATAACGAAATTTATTGTGAAAGAAAATTTATTAACAGATAGTTTTGTTACGTGTAATTATTATTAAGTATAATTTTTATGTTAACGAATTTTTATTGAACAGAATTTTCCTTTTACGGAGTTTTTCTTTAAACAAATTTATATTTAAAAGAATTCTTATTTAACTAAATTGTATTTTTACGAATGAATTTTTATTTGAAATAGTTTTCAGTGAGTCGAATATATTTAAATGTTATAATTTACATTTCAGCGAACCTACATATATTCGAATTTTTATTAGTACGAACTGTCATCCCAAGTAGCATCTAATATTACTGTGATGTTAAAGTGTTCCCTCGATGGTACTCTCTTAATTTGAATCAGTGAAATTTTTACTGATTTGCATTCAATAACTGACTTCTAACTATTTCACCAGTGAAGTTTCACTGATTTGCAGTCATTTTCACTCATGAAACAGCTAGAAGTCGGTTACTGAATACAAATCAGTGAAGATTTCACTGATTCAAATTAAGAGAGTAATATAACGGAAATGTTACTGCAATATTCCAGTAACATTACAGTAACATTACTGAGTAATATTACTATGATGTTACTGGAATATTACAGTAACATGTCCTCGTTATAATACTATCAGTCCGACATTTTAATATTACTGTAATATTACGTGCTACTTGGGATACGACGATATACAAATATTAAAACACCGAATTCTTATTTGTCCTACATTGCAATTGGCCAAATAATCAGAAACTGAAGAAAATTGTGAGTGATCAATTTTAAAATTGGTGCCAAAATATTTCTGCTGGTTGATTATTTGGTCAATTGTATTGTAAGACAAATGAAAATTCGATGTCATAAGATTTGTATTGTATGATATTTCGTATTAATACAAATTCGAACAATTGTAGGTTCGGTGAAATGTAAATTGTGACATTTAAAGATTCAACTTATTTAAAATTTTTTCAAATAAAAGTTCCGCAAAATTGAAATTCAGTTGAATATGAATTCTTTTAAATATAAATTTGTTTAAAGAAAAACTCTGTAAAAGAAAAATTCGATTCAATAAAAATTCGTTGACCTAAAAATTTATACTAAATAATAATTACATGTAACAAAACTTTCAGCTAATTTTTTCCAGAAATTAGTAATGATTAAAATTCAGTCATTTACAAACTCTGATGATCTCAATTTATTGTAAATAGTAAGTCAAACAAACAAGAATTTAGTTAACTATTAATTCTTTATATCAATATTCCTACAAATATTATTTCAATGTGATGAAGCTTCACATAAAACATCATTTGATTTTTATAATTTTTGTTAAATGTTAATTCGAAACAATAAATTTCGATAGAATTATAATTCTGTCAAATGATTTTTATGCGATAATCATGCACTTCGTTCATGTAGGCCCAGATCAAAGAATCTTTGACGCGCGAATTCGTTGGCCTCTAACGCAGCCGGAGACTCACTGTACGCGAGGCCAATGAATCTACGCGTCAGAAATTTATAACCGGTTCTTTATGTAAATTATGTAAAATTTATTTAGTGTATCAGAAAATTACTAATATGATTTAAAAACAAAATAATGAATAATTGAGATTTTTCTATTATTTAGATTTTTCTCTTTGACTTTGAAGCCTGTTATTATTGCTTTGTTGTATTTTAAATATATTTCATATTATTTCCTTATTATTTTTTATTTTTTTTAGTCTTCTTTTCTTTGGTATTTTCTGTTCACTTTTTATTTGACTTTTATTGCTTTATTGTTGTAATTTATGTTCACAGGACAAGGAAGAGGAGGGGAAAATAGGCGGGGGGGCGGTGATTGGGACAATAGAAGAAGGCGCACCAATTACCAGAGACCGGGACAAACTATATACTGTCAAACAGTAATTTACAATTAATGTATTTTTAAAAATAAAAAAAAAACATAATTTTTTAATAATTTAAGTTTTCTTCATTTATTAAAATATATTAAATATTTAAGGATTTTTCAAATTCTTCTTAATACACTATCATTTTTAGAATATTTCAATTTTTAAATAAGGACTTTTAAAGGATTTTTCATTTACTTTTTAGTGTCAGAAAGCATTTTTGAAAAAATAATTTTAACATCATTTTATTCAAAATTAAGCCTTATTTGTCAGTTGTGACCAACCCATTTTGAAAAATTTCCGAGAAATTCTGATTGGAAATTCCAATAAACTTTTTTTTAGAAGAAAAATAATTTTTTTCTACAAAGCAATTTTAACAATTATAAAGTTTAAACTCAAGGAAAATATACATGTCCTTAGGATTATTTTCTATTTTTAGTTAGTCAATTATTATTTGTACATAAGAACATTATTAAAAATTAATTTACTAATAAATTTAAATGAAGTTATATAATTAATAAATATATATTTATTTTTTTAATTTTATAAATTACATTATTGTCATATATTATTATTGCAAATTTAATACCAAAAAAGGACAACAAGTTATTTTTTTTTAATTTCTAATTTTTCAAATCTCAATAACTTTGGATAATATTACCAAAATGAGTTTCATAAGAGGTAAAAAGATGGCGTCTTAAGAAGCACTATAAACTTTAAAGAAAAGAAAAACAATTAAGTACCAAAAAAGTTACTTCTTTCAATATCTTTATTTTTAAAAATGTTAATAACTTTGGCTAATTTTACCGAAAAGAGTTAAAAAAATCAAGAGATGCGTCCTAGGAAGGCACTACAAAACTAAGTAGAAAGTCTCTTCATAATTGATTCAGTGGAATTTCACTGATTGATCAGCTAGAAGTCTGCTACTAATCCCTCTCAGTGAAATTTGACTGAAAATTTAGTAAAATTTCATTCGTTCGCAGTAAAAATATCACTGATTGAAATCAGTTATCGACAAGGTTACTGATTCAACAGTGAAAAACCACTGATTCTCAGTGAAAAAACTTGATGAATGAGGCTCAAAAATCACTGATTAGACGGACATTGGCGGACATATTTGTCCGCTAATGAGATCTAGAATTTTGAGAAAATCGTTCCTTTAGCTCTTGTAGAAATGTAATATTACAAACATAACTTGTAACATCACAATGACATTACAGTAATGTTACGTGATACTTGGGTAATAAAATTGCTCATACGTAAGAGGAAAAAAACTGCAAAAGAATTGGATTCCTCTAAAATTGAAAACATTTTTTTCTAAATTAAACTATAGAAAAAGGGGGGAGTGTCATGGGGCGTTGCTGTTCAGTATGGGCGTCATGTTTGGTGTATATAGAAGACACTGGCAACTTTGACAGATCGTAATGGTTGATGCAGGGTAACATTCTGTCTAAAAAATTCCTCCGTTGCATTTGTCACTTTATATACTTCTTCAAAAAATATTTAAGTAGTATTTCTTTTAATTTTTTTAATAAAAAAATATACAAAAAGTATATTTTTTACATTTAACAAATTCTTTCAACCTTTTAAAAGAAGTAGCATTTTGGATTTGAAATTTAACCAATTATTGTCAGAAGTCGAGTAGCACGTAATATCATAGTAATATTACTTGCAGTAATATTACACGATTATAAACAAAATCTGATTCAGTGTAAATGTAAAGAGAAAAAAGAAAACTTCTCTTTAATCATTAGATATATGAATTTTGCTGCAATTTCTATTTATTCTAAATAAAGGTGTTATATTACAATATAACATTGCTGCGTAACATTACTGTAATGTTAATGAAAATACAGTAATGTTAATTGTTACTTTAAAGTTTCCACAGAAACGACGTCTTTTATTATAATTCATTGGAAAAAATATGAGTTTTCAAATGTAATTATAAAAAATTAATAAAAGAGGTCGTTTTTGGGAACATTGAAAAATAAGGTTTATTTTTGAAAAAAGTCACTTAGTCCAGTCGTCCTGTAAAAAAATTGGTCATTTTCTGCCAAAGTTGATACCTGACTTTTGACTGTTGATTCATACAGTGTGGGGCGCTGGTATATGTGAATCCCTATATGTTTCCCACTCGAGATTTTTCCAGGGCGTTATAAACTATGACAAAGGTGCAGAAAAACGGTTTGTCGATAACCGTTTTTTCCCATTAAATTTTAGGGGAAAAAGTTGTGATTGAAAGTTATAGAGCTCGGAAATACCTGTAAAATGGCGGGTCTTAAATGAAAATCGGTTCATTTCTTTATTTGCAAATAAATTTAAACCACTAAAAATTTCGATTTCTTAATTCTTTGATCATTTTTACAAAAGTTGATAAACTTTTCTCAATCCTTGATAGAATTTACCTCTCACGACCCTTAATAAGTGTATCAAAGCTGAACCCGATCGGATAAATTATTTATGAATAATTGCATTTGTTAACTAAAAACATGTTTTTTTAATGAAATTTCTACACTTTTGGCCGGATGAAAATCAGTTTTCTTTGTCTTATTCTCTTCAAGAAAAGACAATTTATTAATCACAATTTGTGGCTAATTGGATTTTTGCAAAAAAAATGGTTTTTTTAGATGGGGAAAGTTTTTGCTTAGAAGCAAATTAACTCCGGCTGATTTTGAATTTAAACATTCAAATTCCCAAAAGTTGTTATAACTTCCAAACAAATGCATGAATTTTGATCTTTTTTTTAAAACTTGTCTAACTTTTTCTCAAAAATTTAAATATGCAATTTTTTTAGAAAAAGTTACAATATCAAAAAATTTATAATTAAAAAATTAAAAAAAAAATTTTAAATAAGTTTTTTTTCAAAATTTTTAATGTTCAACTTCTAGAATAATAAAAACAACAATTTTTTATTACTTTCATAAAAAAATTGAACTTTTATTACAATTCAATCCTTATGGTACTCGTTTTTTGTCCAAAATTGTCTGCTGCGTGAATAAGCGGCTCAACAAGAAGAGATAATTGGCCTAACTTTATATCACATAATCAAATATGCAATTTTTAGTTTGTACAAAAAGTTATAAACAATGTAAAAAATTAATTATTAAAATAAATTTTTTTTCATTTTTTTTTATTTTAAACTTTTTAAATAGGCCATTATTGTTTATTTATTTTTTATTGATAGAAATAATAAACAATTATTGTTTTTATTATTCAAGAAGTTGAAAATAAAAAATAATGAAAAAAATTAATCGCCATTTTTAGTGGTTTGAATTCATTTGCAAGTAAACAAATCAATCACAACTTTTTCCCCTAAAATTTAATGGGAAAAAACGGTAATAGAAAAACCGTTTTTCGGCACCTTTTGACATTGTTTATAACGCCCAAGTGGCAAAATTAGCTGTTGGATTTATATAGAGGTTTATACTACCGCCCACACTATATGAATCAACAGTCAAAAGTCAGGTATCAATTTTGGTACGAAAAAATACAGGATGGCTGGACTGACTATAAATCTGAATCTGTAAAAATTCCACTGATTTCAATTCAGTGGACGAGTTTTCTTTAACTCATCAGAGGAATTTCACGAAGAATCAGTAAAAACCATTTGATTCAATAATTTTTTTAAAAATATTTTTGAAATAAATATTTTAAAATTCACTATATAAAAACTACAATAGCTCAACTTTTGTAGAAATTATGGCAATTTGAATAAATCAAGGTATATTAATATCTAATTTTTTTATTGTATCAGTTACAGTAATTTTTAATCTAATAATTTATTAATCAGTAGGTTTAATATTATGCTTATTCCTATTGCAAATTTAGAAAAAAATATATATATTAGGAAAAGGTATATATATTAATTAATATTATAAACAATAAATAATTCTATTTTCAAATACTATACTTTGAAGGTGGAGAGGGGGCAGATTTTCTTTTTACGGCTCTGAATTTAAGTGATATTTGAATAACAGTGTGTGTTTACAATATTAATATTTGCATTTATAAAAAATTTTCGAATTTTGTTTGAATACTCTCATTAAATATTTGAATCATTGTGTAGAATTTCAATCATAAAATTGTCTTGAAGATTAAATAAAAGCCCTTTCCTGATTAATAGTATATTTATCTATTTCAATTTTTTTTTTATTTCTGAATGTAATTATTGTTGTTACTACAAATTTAATATTTTTTTGTTTAAAGTGTGAATATTAAATAGTGCTTAAGAAAATATTGCAGTTTTGTCAAAAATTATTTTCTATATACATAATTGAAGTCTGACGCGCAGTTTGCCCATCCTAGTGCCATTACTGACTTATGTTTATTTTCATTGTGAAAAAAGCAGGTAGCGCTAGCATCTTATTATACATATTTATCTAATTTTCACCTAAAAAGAAGGCGAACGCATTCAGAGTGAGTGAAAAATTATTAATTAGAAGTTTTTTTGGCTGATAATTAGAAAGTGTCAATAGTTTATATTATTAGTTGACACTTTCATTAATCATTTGAAGATGGGCAATTCTCGTAAAAATAAAAAATTAACTGCGGGGAAAATGCCAAAATCGTTGAATATAAAAATGGCTAAAATGAGGTTAGTTTAATAAATAAAGATTTTCTCCTTTTTTTCTTTTTGTAACATACACTTTTCGCTATATTAATATATATATATATGTATATATATATGTGCTTTAGATATAATGTATTCTTTATGATTGTATAGTGAAATCATAGAAAACTTTTATTTTATGAATTACAATTATATTTCAAATTTGTATTTTATTAAAAAACTATAGCATTATAGATAGACACGTGCTATATATCTTGTGTGTATATTCTAAGTCAATTACATTTAAACAATATACAATCAATCTTCACACCATATAATTTATCATCTATTTTAATTTTTAAATTTAAAAAGTAAGTAAAGATGAAATTAATTAACTTATAGGATAATAAGCATTGTGCCCAAAGATAAACCGTCAATCAATTTGATGTCAATTTGTAATAATATAATTAATGATTAAAAT